GGGTGTGGAAGATCCTTATGAACAAGCGTTTGGTCGCTTGTCTGGTTGAACATTTGGTTTCCTCAGCTTTTCGCGACTTTATTCGTTAGGTAACAGACAACACCACACACTGCAAATCAGAGTCGCTTTTGGGATCGAGGGGGGAACTTTGGTCGACCAGCAGCGAGAAATCGCGATGATACACGAACTGTAACGACTCGTCAATCCGTTCGCAGCAAATTGGATGCGTGTATTCCACTCACGACAACACCTGGTTGCAAATCGCATGCTTCTTCGTGTATCACCAGCTCTTGTCGTATCCGCGTGGTTAAAAAAGTGTGGGGCGACCAAGAACAAAACTTGTGGAACGTGCGTGGTTCTTGCAATCTTCGTCACCCCACTTCGAAGCTCAACGGCGAGAATCGAAAAAATGGTTACCGTCGCGGTTGAGTGATCAACTCCTAGTTCATAAGGATGTTCCACGCTCTCACGGCCTCCGCGCGGAAAAAACCCGAGACTGCACAGAAGTGGCCTTGGGAGTGTGAACTGACCACGCCCCCAAACAACGAGTTTGTATGCTCGTCTTTCCTCCCATCAAGGATTCCCTGTGGTGTGGAAAGCAGCAACTTGGATTTCCACGCAGCTTGGTAAACTTGGTCAGCAGTTTTCATGACAAAGTAGAGTGTGTCGCAGCTTTTTGATAACCTATCGCAGTTCCTGAGAATGGCTGAAGCAGTTGCCAAGGATGCATCTTACTACGTACGTCTGTTATGATTCTTTACCCTTTTCCCGATCTGAATTTCCCGTAAGCTCGTAAGGAACTCTGAAATATGACTGTACACTTTATCATTGCAGGAATCTAAAGGGATCAAGTATAGCGAAGTAAGTAACGGGCTGAATGCATCATGCTTATGCTCAAGCACTTGCCGCGTCGTTTATGGCGGAATTTCCAGCGTCTTATCCACGTGTGTGGCTCTTAACAGGAGTTCTTTACGAACTCGAGGGGCATGAAACTTCAGACTGCTTCATGGCTTCCTGCGAACGGCGAGCCAAAGGCCCTCATCCTCCTCCTTCACGGTGCGACCATCATGAGTTCCATCCCTTTCAAACGTGGCGTTCGCCTACTTCTTTCAAAACGGGATTCGAAGTAATGAAATTGTGCTGTTCGACTTGTCTGGATATCTGTGTGGCACCGTTTGATTATCCAGGTTACGCTGTGGACTGCACCACTTTTTTTGCTTGTAAGTTTGACTGTTTTTATATTCCACACACACTATCCCAGAATGGTCGCTTCGTCTCGCAGTGTCTTTGCGCCATTGTCCGACATGTGAGGTTATTCTTCGTCTTTCCGTGCTTATGAGCAGCCACAGCAGAGCGGCTAGCATCAGAAGGTTATGCAGTTTTTGGAATTGACTATGAGGGACATGGAAGGTATTGACCATTGCATTATGATTCCTTTCACAGCTAACGACTTCAGAAGTCGACAGCTGCAAATTATGTAGATTTCTATCTGTTTTGTATCCTTTCATTTGAGCCAAACTGTTTGTGCCTGAATCTGTAGGTCAGAAGGTCTTCCAGTGTACATTCCGCAGTTTGAGACCATCATTGATGACCTCGACGATTATATCACCCCTATTCGAGGTAACAGAGTCAGATGACTTATGGCTCTGCTTGGAGCGTCTTCCTTTATAATGCCATTCGCGTTTCAATCCTCCATCTTTTTATTGTGCACCCGAAGTTAATAACGAGACTTTGTTTTTGCTTTTGTTTATGTGTGCATGCGTGGTATTGTGGATACGCATGTGTGGCTCTGGGGTGTGCAGAGCGCGAGGAGTACAAGAACAAGCGCAAATTTATGATGGGGGAGTCAATGGGGGGAGCAGTTACCCTCCGCCTGCACCGCAAGGAGCCCACTGCTTGGGACGGAGCCATTCTCATGGCACCCATGTGCAAGGTGGGGAATGGCAGCACGGATGCAAGTATTTGCAACTTGGAAAAAGGGAGCGTGTGGAGTGGGTTGAGTGCCAAAGGAATGGAGAGTGACGGTATAGAAGGAAGCGGAGCAAGAGGAATTGATTGATAAGGGCTTGATAAAATCATGTGAGGGTATGGGCATGGTTGCTGCTTGGCTGACCCTGAGGAGTTGAATGTGTGCGCACCAAAGTCTCTTCTCTGTTGTCGTATCTGCAGATCTCTGACAAGGTGAAGCCGCCAGCGATCGTCACTGCAGTCATGAAAAACCTTGCATATCTTCTGCCAACATGGAAAATTGTCCCCACGTCTGACATCATCAGCGCAGCTAACCGCGACCCGGTTAAGAGAGAAAAGGTACGGAAACAGTTGCCATTTGACACAAAAATTGTTTGGTTTTTCTGCCACTTAGGAAGTTGTCGCCAGTTCTGTTTCCGTGCCATTTTTAAAGTACAAAACTCTAACAATCTCTTCATGGCCGTTCACCTGGCAGATCCGGGCCAGTCCGAACACCTTCACGGACAAGCCTCGCCTTCGAACAGCCCTCACCATGCTAGAGACCAGTGAAGACCTTGAGCGACGGCTGGATGAGGTATGCTGACCTCAGCAGTAATTCAGTGCTATCTTGCACTTTCATCTCGATCTATCAACTTCTTTGAAACCTAAAGACCTGCTACTATCACCAACGCCATGTGATTGTCATTCTTAATCCCTACCAACTTTGAACACCTTACATTTCGCCTATGTGTGTCAGGTGACCCTGCCATTCCTCCTGCTCCATGGTGACGCTGATACCGTGACAGAGCCTGCAGTGAGCCAGGCGTTGTACGAGAAGGCACGCAGCACCGATAAGACATTTAAGCTGTACCCGGGCCTCTGGCACTGCCTCACAGAAGGGGAGCTGGATGAGAACGTTGAGATCGTGTTTAAGGTGAGCACGGGAAAAGGGGTTAAAGAAAATGAAGGAAAGGAGGAAGAGACTACCCTAACCAAGTGATTCCAGTGTGTGTCCTCATTTGGCTGTAAAACGGCCCCACTGTTGGTCAGCCTTCTTGCACGGCTGTGTGTTAGGGTGACGAGTGTACACAGAGATCTGACGGCATGTTTAATGTGCAGCACTGACTGTTTGACTGATCACATGAGCATCGCCATTGTTCCTCTATTCCTAACCTTTGTTCCCCAAAACCCCTCCCCTTCTCTCACCCCCCCACCCATCTTGTCCTCTTCATTCGTCTGTCCGACAGGACATTTTTGAGTGGCTAAGTGCCCATGCTCCTCAGGCGTAAGCCGCCACACAAGTGCCTCCACGTTAAGACCAGTGTTACGGATGGTTATACTTCAGATTCTGTCGGCCAGTAGGAGCTTTTTAGGTTCATCAGGACTTGATTATGCAGTGTAGATGGTTTCTTGAGCATGTTCAAAAGAGCTAACATATATACTGCAATAGATGGAGGTTGAGAATTTAGAAAACAAAGAACTCCTGTGGATATCCACAGCCTGAGTTGCCGTACACATGGAATGGAACAGGTTATGGCAGCAGGCAAAAGGTTACCTTGACAGGAAGGAGCTTGTGCCTTGGTAAACAATCAATTTAGAAAGCTTGCTTTCTTGCATGTAGCAATTGGCATCGTCTCATTTCAAATGGGTTTAGTACAATTGAAATCCATAGTGATATTACAAAGATATGCCTCTATGTTCCTACGGCTATCCTGTTTCCGAGGGGGGGGGGGGGGGGGGGGGGGGGAAATCGGCTAAACCGTTTGAAAATGAGAGACGTGGGTGGAGGGAAATGACCTCCAGCCCACGTTTTGTACTCCAAAACGGGCGTTTAGCGCGGCTCGACCCTGCCAAATCCTACATTACAAGCAGCTTCGCTTTCAAAATACATAATTTTGAAAAGCGTTACAGCTTTTAAAAATATACATATATACAATGTTACAATACGAAGTAAGAAGGCGCAAACTAAACTACCGTCATCGCCCGGATATAAGACATATATGTCTTATCTCGTACACGGGCAAAAATGCTTGAGTTATCTTGTAAACGGGATGGTTTAGGGTGTCTTATAAGTCTTATAAATGGAAACTTTTTAAACTACTTAGAAATATTTTCCGTACTTCTTTAAAAAGAGTTTCTCATAATGCGTGTGGATGTTGCGAAGGTGCCACTTCGACAACCTCTGCCCGAGACGCCACGTTATGGAGAACACCTGCAGGGGCAAATTTGGTAGGTCCTGGGTCAGCGCGTGGAAGAATTCGCGCTTCGCAAGGGTAAAAAAGTACGCGGTACTTCAACTTTCGCTATAATTTATTGAAGTTTCGATTATAAGACATATGTCTTATCTCATACACACAAATAGGTGTCTTATAATGAGGTTAGCCTGTTTATAAGAGACACCCGTATAGTAGACAACCCCTGTCTACTATTCAACACTGTCTTATATCCGGGTGATGACGGTACATTGCCAATAATATTGACCTCAAGTCAGCTAGTAGTAACCTCAATTCAGCAACTCTGTCGAAGACAGAATGCTGTGCAATTTAGAATGACGAATGAAAATGCATACCGAATATGTTGGGATGAAGCCTGGAGGCATTCCAATAGGAAGAACGCTGTATGTGAAGTCCAAGTGCTCATGGACACCATTCTTTTAGTCAATCATTACCCCATCCCTGTTAGTGTCAAATCCGTTCTTCCTCAAAAAGAAGAGCTGAGCTCATAACCAGTTTTGGCATTCAGGACATGGCGTCGCCTGCTGATGCAACGGCCATGTCAGGCAATGGAGGGAGTATGGGGCTGCAGAGAGCCGGTAAAGCACCACCAGTGGTGAAGGGCTGCTGCAGCATGGCCGGGCGAGGCTGCATGGGAGCTTGCATGTGCGACCCTCTTGGGGTTGAGTGCGCATTCAATGGAGCCCATGGATGTTGAGAAGGCACAGGCAGCCAAGGCGCTGGTATCGGTAACTGTAAGAGTGTCTTTGGGAGTAGCTGTGGCGGTGGCTGTGACAGCAGCTGTGGCTGGTGGGTGGTAGCGAGGGCATGCGGTCAAGCTCAAGGTCCTGACATGCCCTCCTGGGCGAGATACTGCTGCTGCCTGTGCCACTCAGCACCTCCTTCCAAGGTCCCTCCCTGCTCCTCCGCCCACTCTGGCAGGGCTGTCCCAGCAGCACGTGGCGCGGTCCCAGCAGAACCTGGTGCTGCAGGCCTCTCAGCCTGAGGACCACTCGTCAAGGGCACGGTGAGGGCACTCCCACCCAGCAGCACGTGAGCCACGGGCGTGTCGAGAAAGAGAGCGCCGTTGTCCTTGTCACTGTGCTTGTCAGTGTTGTTTATGTTGCCAAGCATGTTAATGCATGCATCCAGGTATTCTTGCTCCTGCGTGCCACACGTACTCCCAGCAAGCATCGCTGTAAGGCACCTGCTCGTGCAGCCAGGAGTGGGGCCAGGCAGACCAGCGAGCGGCGAGGGCATTGGTGCTGTGAATGGCTGGGCGGGCGCAGGAGCAGACAGAGCAGCACGCTGCGTGGAGGCAGGGACCTCGCAGCAGAGTCCCAGCAGCACGTCGTCTGGAAGGGCGCTCTCTGACGCAATGCGGAGCCATTCCTCCCGGTGCACTGCGAAATCCCTAATGCAGAGTGCGAAATTCCCACAGCAAGGGGTGGAATCACCAAAGAAGGAAGCGCAGCTAGGCAGAGCAGCGAGCTGGGAAGGCATTGGCGCTGGCAGCGGTGCATGCGGCTGGGTGGGCGGAGGAGCAGACAGAGCAGCACGTTGCTTGAAGGCAGGTTCGTCGCTGCTGAATCCCAGCAGCACGTCGCCTGGAAGGGCACTCTCTGACCCAACGCGGGGCCAGAACACCCGCTGCGCCCTGCTCCTCGCTCCTCCCGGCTGCTGCTGGCGATGCTCCTGCTGCAGCAGGGCCTCCAGAAGGGCTTCGTCCGCTGCCTGCTGCTGCACGCGGCTGCTCTCCCCCTGCTGCTCAAACTGCTCTGCCACTGACTGATGCCGGCGCTCCGTGCTACACGCCACCCCGCCTCGCACTATCCCCCCTGGCACCACCCCCTCTCGCACCACCCCCTCTCGCACCACCCCCTCTCGCACCACCCCCTCTCGCACCACCCCCTCTCGCACTACCCCACCTCGCACTACCCCACCTCGCACTACCCCACCTCGCACTACCCCACCTCGCACCAACCAGCTCTCACGTCCACCGAGCAGCGGCTGTTGTGTTGCCCCCAGCGTGGGACACTCGTCCCTTGGTCGCTTCAGCGCACGACGCCGAGCAGCATTGGAGGCAGCAGCAACGGGGAAGGCTTCATGGGATACTGGAAACTCGGCAATAAAAGCAGCCGCAGTAGCAGAGACGCTGGCGGTTTGGGAAGGAGGAGGAGGGCTGGCAACAGAAGAGAGGTTCAGTGAGGCGGTTTGGCGGCAAAGAAGACAGCCGTGCACTCGTCAAACGACAGCCCTCCGAACGCGAGGGCAGCTGAACACACGCCTTCCGGACGCTGCTGCTGCTGGAAATCCTGACAGAAAATCGGCTGACTGTCTCCGTCCGAAGAAGCGTGCTGGAGGAATGCAGCTCCTCCCAGGTGATTTCCAAGGCAGCTCTCGCGAAAGCGGTGATTGAACTTCCTGTTATCAACACACAGAGCAGAAAGGCTGAGGTGTTACGAAAGGCTGAGGTGTGTTATATATGCTCACGCGTATCAAGAAACCTGAGTTCAAGAAATCATGCATGCGGCATGCGGGGTTACCTTCTGAGGAAGATGTAACGGTTACAGCACGACTTGTTGCTTCGGTTGAGCTGACCGCTCCTCCCCAGCTCACCCCACTGCTTCGTGCCGCAATGCAGCGCGTGGCGGAGCAGCACCGCGTCCTCCTGCCGTGGGAGTGAGGGAGGGAAATGACAGCGTTGCCATCATGAGCTGTGAGTGATTCTCCTCCAGACGCTCTTTTCGCGACACCGCCTCGCAACCCACCTCTCGCGACCATGGCTGCATGCCGAGCGGCGACGAGGGTTGCGAGACCGGCGGCGAGTTAATGGCTTCAGGTGAATGCGGCATGGCGGCTGGTAAGCTACGGTTCTTGAAATCGGTACCACACGGTGTTCAGAAGAAGTCAGGTGTTGGCACGAGAACATAACATGAGTCGGGTTCAGAAATTAACGGTCTCTTGAAAAAAACGTGAGCCAATAATCTTGCATCTATCCACCTTGGCTGGCTCCACGGACGGAAACGCCTTGCGGTACGGTCAAGCAGCAAACGCAAGCACGAGCCCATTGTGGGTTGGGGTTCACCATTGGCCCTGATCAGGACCTTCCTTGCCGACATTTCTTGATTCTACTAACGCTGGCCAACGGGGCCGAGTCTTGACCGCAGCAGGGTATGCCCCTTATCGCGGCACTTCCCAACGCAACCTGCGAGGCCTCGAGTCGCGCGGCATCACAAGGTGTGCGATGGGAGGTCAGCAGTAGAAGGGGTGCGATAGCGAGGATGATGCTTGAAATGTGGGCCGAGTGGGACACCGACAACGAGGGGCACAGAATGAAAGGAATATAGCGGCACTCCCGCTTTAAAAAACCCTACACTACTAGGAGACAACGAGGAATCGTAGGCGTGCAGTAGTAGTATACAATACTGTGCACTGTCATCTGAGGTCCTTGGAACTAGGCCCGTCATACGTTTACAGTAGTATGATTGTACAGTCGATGCTCACCTTATCCCGTGTCCAAATGTCGACTCGAAAAACAGTCACTCGCGAACGTTTTTGCCCGTGAGCGACTGAATTGAGCATCTACAGTTGATAAACGACAACGGTTGCCTGTCATCAGAAATGTTTACTGGTTACGAACTTCAAACCCTAGACTCGATTCACATTCCAATTTCATATGTCACATTTTTGCCCGTGGCGACAAGGGCGAAAGTGGCTAAACCCTGAACTCGTTTATCGCACATGCCGCCTGCCTAACTGATTTTCTTGTAATGAGTACCGCTTGTATGGAAATCTCGGAGAAGGAGCCACCTTTGTGTGAACACCTGCCAGCCAAATATTCAAGGCCCTGTTCGGTAGCCCAGCAAGTCATGCTGCGGCTGGTGCGGGGGATCTTCCTCGCCCAAATTCGAATCCTGTTAAAGCCCACCAAATCGTTATTAGAACACCAGACCTGCCCAGTGTGACTTGGCTTCCGAACGCGTAAGAAACCCAGTCAGAGTGAGGGCGAGGACACTTACTACGAAATTGCGAGCACAGGCAAACTCGACCATCAGTGAAAGACCCATTTCTGCTTTCTAGTTCCACCCAGGCAGGCCTGCTCCGAGTGGCATGCTGAAGGGTATACGTCTCGTTAGTGTCTTTTTGGGTCAAATTAATGCATTTTGATCCGTTTGTTCAAAGGTGAGAGATCGTGCCCGTTCATATTTTTCCCTTTTCCATATCGAGGGGTTTCTATTTGTCGGGCTGATTTTTTGTTTGTTGATCGGGCAGCCTCGTACAGAAGTGGAAAAATGTTCTGGAATTTTCTTCATAAACACATGGTAACTTCTTGCAAATACGGACGAGACTTCCTTCCAGTGTGAGTGGAGGCCCGAGGCTACGAAACAAATCGTAGGCTTCCCCAGTTCGAGTGCGCCCAGTGTGACTGGAAGGCTACCGAACAGGGCCCTGGTTTCGAATGCACAGCCGTGTAGAACGCAGCCATTGGCTGCAGTGCCCGCTACCCCCAAGCTTGCACATCCAAACCAGATGCACGGAAGGGGAAGGCATTGTTGATCTAGCAAGCAACTGCGGTGGAATGCCGCATCTCGAGCAAGACTTGGGGAGCGAGCGAAACCAATCTTATGTTACGGAGAGGATAATGTTCCGGCGTGCAACTGTTGGGTAGGGGGAGGGAGGGAGTAGGCAAGTGCTGCGGTCAGCAGGACCAACTGGAGCAGTCTGCCTGCCTAATATTTTTGGGTCGCGAAGCAACCAATCGTGTTATGAATTGTACTAGAGTGAGCGAAAGACTTTATAAAAAGGATGTGAAGTACAGAATCACGAAAATGACAAAGGAGCAAGCATTTATAGGGTCGAAACCGTGCTAGGCGAGGACCTCGGGACGTGGATAGTTTGGAAGTGTCGCGATTGGTGCGAGGCGACTCGGCAGTGGTTCGGACCGAAGTATAGGCCGAACTTGAAACTGAAGCGAAGAGCACAGGGCTGTACGCCCTAGGAGCAGACTCAGTAATGAATAACGATATTCATTACACTCTCCCACCTTCTAGATAAGGCCCCCTTATCTGTAGACGAGTCTTGCAGTAGCGTGAAAACTGCAGATCTAGGTCGAACTGATCTGACGGTGCAGAAGCGCGTTGACTTTCGAATTGATGCATGGCTGAGCGCGTTGACCAGACGAATTTCATAAGGTTGGAATGTTAGCAGTTGATACTGCTGATGTAGATCGAGCGGTTGATATCGAATATCGAGAGGAAATCCGTTGATGAATGAAGGCCATAGATGTACCGAAGACGAATCGTACGGTAGTAATTCTGTCGGGATTCTGACACAGCGTCAGAGGTTGATGAGCAGAAACCGCTGATGTCGATGAAATGGATCGCGAACGTTGATCGTGCTGCAAGAGTCTGACAGACTGTCAGAAACTGCCGAGACTGTCAGAAAACTGTTGAGCACAGTGCAGCGGCACTTTCTCCTCCCCTCCAAGATAATACTGTCCACCAAAATGTGCACAGCTGCGCGGTACGAAGCTCCAACCACCCTGACGCCGAGGGTAGAACAGAATACCATGTGTTATGACCTCCCAAATGAATGTTAGCAACTGCACTGTCGAAATTGTAGTCGGTGGCAAAATCTCCACTGTCAAAAACGCTGAAGAATACCCTGGATAACCTCAGTTGAAGCCCGTAATAGAATTTCCCCTGATTAAAACCTTCTTGTTGTCACAAATGTACCCTGACTGCTGCAGTTTCCCCAGCTGCCAGCATCTGCAATCCAAAAATGTCTGCTGCTGTCTTGTTGTCGCGACTGCTACTGCAGCATATGCAGTCTGAAATCCAGTCCGTTGTCTCGTTGCTTTGGCAGAATAGAAATCTTCAATTGCTGTAGCTTCTCCAGCTGTCATCAGCTGCCACCCGAAATTGATTGTTTTTTGTCGTTGATGCGCCCGTGTCGGATTTTATCGGTATCACAAAACTTGTGTCCATCCCCAAAACTCCGTCAGTGGCGACCCTGGATCGTTTTTGCTCGGCGTCAAAATGTCGCGTCGATTTTGCGATGTCGTTTAAGCGTGGTGACGAGGATCGGCGAGAAGGTCGGTTCGAGTAACTACCGAGAATTCACTTCACTTGAACCCATCGCACCCGTCCCCAGGATCGTGTGACGTCAGTACCACCGGCAGTCTTGTCGTAACTAGCCGAGGCTTTTGTCCTGATTCTCCGAAAACTCCCCCGCGGAGGCGAAAAACATCTGCTGCTCCTCCCCCTAAGGACGTGGGTGTCAGAACTAGTCAGTGAGAAAGAGAAATGAAGAAAGGAGTGTTTGCGCTTGCAGCAGTTGGCATACATATAGGAAACCCTAATTGGGTTGTACTCGCTATAGAGTACCCCACTGCAGGCTAGACAATAATATCATTCTGACACACCCGCATAGCCAAAGTGGGGTGTAATCAGCACAATGAGCAGGCATAGCAATAGTTCACAATTATAAGCAAAGCTAGAGGCGATCACAGAGGGCAAGTGAGGAGGAGGAATTGTGAGGGGAGAGAAGATGGGAGACGACGGCTGAAGCTTAAGACACACAGGCAACAGGAGCGCGCACACAGTGGCTACCGAGAGCACGACGGCTCCGGACTACAGGAGTAACTGGCTCCGCGGCTACGACGAGCGGCACGAGCAACGGACCCACGGGCGACAGGCACAGCAGGCTCGTTGGGCTACCGAGAGCACGACGGCTCCGGACTACTGGCGCTGCAGGCGACACGACGGCAGCCTCCACGCAACCTCCCCCGACTGTCCCACACCCCTTTCACACACCCCCTACTGCACCCCTAGCTCCACTCCCACGACACCCCCCTTAAACCCTAAACCCTCGGCTCCCACACACCCACCCCCCTCAGCGGCAGCTGCAGCAGTGGGAGACGGAGGAGGAGGAGGAGCTGCAGGTTACCCATACCGTTCACCCCCATGCCCACCACCCCCAAACCCTTACGCAGGCAGGAGCGCGGGATTCAGCAGGGGCAGTTCACGGAGGGAAAGGGAGGCGGCGAGGGGGTCTCCTGGGCGCCACGAAGGAGCAGGGCGCGGGCCCCCCGAGGGCGCCACGGCGGGTGACGGGAGGGGGGGTCGCGCACGGGCCCCCGAGGGCGGCTCGACGGGCGACGGGAGGGGCCGCGCGCCCCCAAGGCGCCGCGACGAGGCGACGGGAGGGGGCGGCGCGCGGGCCCCCAAGGCGCCGCGACGAGGCGACGGGAGGGGGCGACGCGCGGGCCCCCAAGGCGCCGCGACGAGGCGACGGGAGGGGCCGGCGCGCGGGCCCCCAAGGCGCCGCGACGAGGCGACGGGAGGAGGGCGACGCGCTGGCCCCCAGGGCGCCGCGACGGGCGACGGGGGGCAGTGTGCAGGTCCCCGGGGGCGCCACGACGGGCAGAAAACCGCCGCGCGAAGCAGGAAACCGCCGACGCGCCTCGGGGCGCACGGCGGGCAGAAAACCGCCGCACGCCCCGAGCGCACGGCGGGATGAAAAACGCCGCGCGCTCCGAGTGCGCGGCAGGAAGAAAGGGTCGCGCGCCCGGGGCGCGCGACAGCAGTAGAGCAGCGGAAGCATCGGGTGGGGCCCACCCACAGGATCGACCCAGGAGGGTCGACCTGCTCTGATACCATGTCAGAACTAGTCAGTAAGAAAGAGAAGTGAAGAAAGGAGTGTTTGCACTAGCAGCAGTTGGCATACATATAGGAAACCCTAATTGGGTTGTACTCGCTATAGAGTACCCCACTGCAGGCTAGACAATAATATCATTATGACAGTGGGCCCAATCGAGTTTGATTGCGACTTATCTGATCGGGTTGGATCT